CATTCTAAGTGCTCCCCATTTATTAACTCTTTTCTCTCATAAGCCTCCGAGCAAGCCCACGAGGTGGGTGTGATCATGAGCCCCAGCTGACAGACGGGGAAACTGGGTCCCCGGAGATTTAAGTCACTGGCAGAGGCCGAGGGGACCCAGGCAGGTTCATTTTCTGGGAAGGAGCCGCTGAGGCTGGGACTTGCTGGAAGGAGGCGTATGGGGAAGTGCTCCTGGGGTCCACACCTACACAGGGAGGCGAGAATAGGTCCAGTGTCCCCACTGGGGGTCCAGAGGGTGGAGCTTTTGCACCCCATGACCAGCCAGTGGCTACTGCCACCTTTGCCTTCGGGGAGGAGCGTGGCTCCTGAGAAAAGCGGCTCTTCTCAGCCCAGGCAATGACTGGAAAAGGACTCAAGCAACGCAGGGAGGCCAACCGCCCACCGCCCACCGCCCACCGCCCGGTACCTGGTCCCCCGACACCCACTGCAGCCCCCCAGGGGAGCTCAAAGGAGAAATATTAGCGGGACAAAGCAGGCCAAGCCGCAGCCCTGATGTTATAGTTGATCTCGAAGCCGCCGCTGATGTCCAGTGTCCTCCAAGGGCCCCGCCCCGTCGGTGAGAGCCTCTGCTAACCTGGCTGCTTACTCTTCCGCTGACCCGGGTCCACACCCTTCAGGTCGACAACAAGGCAAGGGATTTTTGACTTTTGGGGGGGCAGTTGTGTTCAGCCTCCTGTTACCCATTCTCTACTTCTTTGGATGGATTGAGTGTTTCTTTGGGTTGGATGGGTGACATGATTTATCCATCATGTCCCAAATCTCTGCAGCCAGGGCCCTCGGGCCAGTGCTGCAGCCTTGCCGCTCACTGTGAAACAGGCACCCACTGGGCCTCTGGTGTCTCGGGATCCTGCCACCCCGTTGTTATCAGGGCCCGGGCGCGCAACGGCACCTCCCACCCCAGCCCGGGCCTGCGGTGCTGCTGGGGCCCTCTTACCAGCTCGGGAGACAGAACGTCCCCTGGCCTTGTTAGTGGAGCTGCCGCCGGGTGGTTTCTGGCCTTACCGAGCTTGTCTACGCCAGCGGTCCCACCTCACCAAGCCTTTGGACTTTCTTCTGCCATCTGCGGTGGCATTTCTTCTGGACTTCACATCAGCCATTGTTTTCTCCGAGCCGAGCAGTGCGTCGTCCCTGGATCCTGGCCGGGGTGCTAAATCCCGTTTCAGTGAACTCCCTTTGTCTCACTTATACTGTCCCCCCTTGACCCCCACCCCCAGGATCCAGCCCCGTGCCCCTCCCGTTCCTGCAGGCACGTGCTAGCGGGGCCTTGCCTGCTGTGGGATCTCGCCGTTAGTAGGTCCGGCACTCACCCAGCTGGGTTCCGTGGTGGCTGAACCCGGCTAAGCGGCCTCATGGCTGTGGGCTGGGGGGTACAGTGTTGTTTTGCAAGGGAGAGGCCTCTGCATCATCCTCAAGCAGAGCGGTGGGCCTCTTAGGCACGCCCGGGAGTTCCCCAGAATCCGGGCATTCAAGATTGTTCAAATGCATCAGCCCAGACAGCCCCCATCACCTCAATAGGGGCTCTGACCTTACGGTAGAAGACCTTCAGAGGCTCAGAGTTCAGCCTCTTCTGGAGCTTTCTGCACAAAACAGGTCCGGGGCCTGATCCACAGCCTACGTGCAGCTGCAGGACGCAAGGCTCCCCGTAGATGCTGCCAAGGGCTCTCGGGCTTCCACAGTCAGCCTTTAACTGGTGATTTATCACCCTCAGCTTTTCCCTGTCTCCTTTCCAGTGTGCCCAGCAGCGGCCATCCAAATCCACTGTCCTTGTAATTTCTATTTCGCCTCACTGCTCAAACACCTGCCACACCGCACCCGCCGTGCCTCCCCTTCCATGGGTGCACTACCCTAACTTCACCGTCCAATATTTAACACCAGGGAAGGTTCGCAGTGCACGCCCCAGCATGGCAGGGGCTACCGCAACCACCGCCACCAGTGACAGGGTCCTCGCTGCCAGTAACTCAGGGGGTGACCCAGATCCCAAATCCCACTTTAGATCCTGTTTCCTTGGACCACGCCTAGTACTAACTGTCATAGGTTGGGTTTTGGGGGATGCAGGCTATGAGCTAGAGATCCGCGTACAGGAGGTTTATGAAAAGTGTTCTCAGGATCCACACTGTAGGGTAGGGGAGGGAGGAGGGCTGGGCAGACTGTGGTGGGCTCCAATGCAGGCTTCAGCCAACCCCAAGGGGATTCTAGAGCCGGGGGCCCTTCGAAGGGCTGTTATGCCTCCTCCTGGACCATCACTGAGTGCGGCCACTCCCAGGAGAGGGAGGATGGCCTTGGGTCAGACAAGCTCTCTGGCTGTGAAGCAATCTCCAGGGAAGGACTCAGCAGCGCTATTTGGTGCTGACCCTCCCAGCACCTGGGGGAAGAAAATGCTTCAGTCCAGGGGTGGGAGTTGGGGGGTGGGGGGAGTCTGGGAATGTTTTCGTCTATACAGTTCCTGTTCGGGTAAATCGAAGTGCCAAGCCATTTTGACGATAGTCAGAACAAGAATGTATTGGCAACACAAGTTACGCATAGTTTCCTTTGGTGATTCCATGAAACCTACTCTGTAACACTTTACCAGAGTCTTGTTCAATCTTAATAGATGTATTGTTTTGGAAGATAATGATGTAGTAAGTCAAAGATGTCCCTGATGCTAATATGTGCCTTGAATTTAATGTGGTGAACTATTTTCTTTTTGAGCAACCAGTCACAACTTTCAAGAGCCATGATCAACCAGGCCCATACACTGGCATATATTTTGGAATTTCCCTCAATGTCTACGAATTTTGGTGAGAAGATAGCAACATAGCGAAGAGCGTGGTGGATTCAGGTAGAACCAGAGACTTCCCTTTGGGTAAGATGCCCAGACCTATTACAGGCATCTATGTAGAAGCACAACAATGCAAAAATCCAACGTTTTCCAAAGAACACAGGTAATTTACAGTTTTGCTTATCCATGCTCAATAAAGACATCAAAATGTCTACTAAAACTATTAGTTCACATTTATTGCTTACTACGTACTGCACTTGCCAGCTTTTTACAGGTATATTATCAGGCATGTATTCGATTTCTGGCCTTCTCTGGGAAATCGCAGAATGTTGAGGAATCTTGGCTGGCTGTGTTCCCCATTTGCAAAAGCTAAAACTAAAATTCTCCAGCCAGATCTGTCTTCTCAGAATACAGTAGAATGGAACTTTTTAATGAGAAAGAGGGTGTATAAATGAAGACTATATTTTCACTGTTACGTTAATCATCGTATAATTAGCATATGTTCAGAGCAAGCCAATGAGAACACAGAGGTTACTTTAGACACTTTACCTGCTCAGAATTCCTTTGTCCTGTGCTTGGCTGGACAGCGTGGGCACAGTCCGACTGTTTCCTTATTGGTACAAAAGGAAAGAATCTGTATCCCTTTAATGGAGGTAACTGTCCACAGAATGAATGGATCTAATCTTGCTGGTAAAAGTGCAGTGAATTGCTCACCTATTTCCTAGAGATGCATAAGCCTCTCATTTAGAAAAGCACTAATTAGGGCACTTTCATAAGTAATTTGCTTAGAGGGACTGGGGAAACTAGAAACAATTCACGTCCCAAAGGTACGTGAACTCCTTTCCCAGGCAAGGGATTGACTCAAATGTGAAGGAGCGGCTGAGATTTGCCAATGGGAATCAAAAAACAAGATTCTGAGATGTTAGCACAAAACGATGTAACCAATAGCTGCCTCTTTAGGCATTCGCTATTCATAGTGCGGTTCTATACAATTTTAGGTTTCATTAAAGAGGGATGATAACCTGAAAGCTCGGTTACTTTAAACAACAATTACAAGCACAGCCTCTCTGTGGTCTTCTTTAGTTTGTAAACAGCAAAAAGAACTGAACATCTAATTTTTGAAATTCTCTGGCTTTTCTTTTTGACCTTTGGTATTTGTATGTATTGACGATCTCTAAACCATTGTACAAAAACACCTTGAAGTGTCAAGCTTTAAAAATGAGTCTTCTTTTCTCTTTCTCCTGTGCAGCTTGGATTATCTTGGCCTTGTCAAAACAATTCTCTAGTTAGAGGTTGGAAATATTTCCCTCCTGGCTCCAAAGTATTGATTTTCTTCAACACTCAGCTCTGTCAGTCAGCCGGAGGGGTGAAAGGTGAAAGTTCACCCAGCACTGCTTGGCTTTACCTTCCTATTAATGTCATGCCCTTTCCACATTTGATCAGTTTATGTGATCACCCATCATACAGGACTGGTAATGCCCGTTCCCCTAGAAGGATACACTGAAGTCATGGGGAGATGTTAATACAATTCCTGGGATGGACACTGGGTATTAGGAGAGGGCCAGAGATGCTGCAATCACCTCCTTTACTGTTGACCTATTTCTTAAAGGAAATTATACTGCTACGTGATGATCGACTCGTTCAAAATGTTCTGTAGTCTTCTCTGAAAATTAAAGTACCTTCACTACTTACGCATATAATCCTTCTGTGAGCTATGACTTCTTTTGTTACTCTTGCTTTTTTTGAAAACCAATTCCATCCTTTACTTCAGGGATTCAAATTCAACTCCAAACCAGTATTAAGTGAAATGAAATTCATGATCTTAGCCCAACCCTCCACCCCAAGGGCCCAACCCATATCATCAGGTCTGATAAAATATAAGTTGGTACAATTAACAGCCTATTTAGGAGCAATTTAGGGTAGAGATTAAAGCAACAATAATGTAATTCCCTTGCCCAAACCACAGGGGATGCTGTTGAGTTTCTGGTGGGGTGTTGCTGGTTCTCACACGTTGGCAATGCAGGAGAGGGACTTCCTTACTGTTCTACTGACCTTTGTGAATGAGCTGGCCTTTCCTGAAGCTAGCTCCCCAGGGAAATGAAATAATTAGATGGAAATAGAAGGCTTAATTTGGTACCAAAGGGAGTGGGGGCAGGGAGAAAGCATATGGATTTCAATGGACAATGTTTAAGAGTGAATATGTTTTTAATGGGGAAAACAATCTTCAGTACAATTCAGTTTCATTTAACACACGTATGTACAGAGGAACGTTCAGCACACACAGAGTCTATTAAGTGGGGTCGTCAAGAAATTTCTTGAGAGGCAGATATTTTAATCCACTCCCTGTACACAGTGGGTTCAAGCATTACCTTTTCATACAGGTGTCACGTCACGTGATCTTTTGCTTGTAAATTGTCAATGAAGCCACATATGCCTCTACGTTTATAAGGACAGGTCCAAATACAGTGCCAATGAAATTAATAAACGACTAAAAGCGTACACTGGAATGACAATACAAAGTTTAGCTCAGTGCTGACAAACCTAAGCTGGGTGGCTGTCAAAATAGCCAAGGGAAGGTTTGTGTTAACGAGAATGCAAGTATTAGTTTAGTAGCTAGAGACACCTGTCTAACTCTCAAATATTGTCCACCCCAGAGCACTATAATCAGAATATTGTATTGGCCATAATTGTCTGTTGTGCAGACAACACGTGGCAGGCTGGCCAAGCCCGCTGCGCAGGCGTGTTGCTCTGGCGGGTCCCCTGGTGTCACTCTAAATCTCCATGGCGTGCGCCATCCACCTGTGCACGTGTGGTGCTCTGCCCTGCAGTCGCACGCTCTTCTCCGGATGCACTGAACATTTTGTTTTAAAGAAATCTTGAGGGTGCATCCCGCGTCATCATTCCAGCGCAGCTGTATAGTCCAGAATAAATTAATCCCCATTCAAGTTCACGAAGCAAACGTGCTGGGACTCGCGAGGACTTGGGAGGCCTCTGGGAGAAACAAGTGCCCCTTCAGTTCACCGCAGGTTTCTCCACCGACAGCGAACACAGCAGTATGTTCGGCCAACAAATAAAGTCTACACTGTGTAATTCTTTGTCTCTTCCTGGAAACTACATATGTAATCTGTATAAATACAATGTACATGCATGTTTCATAAATTCACTTGTGAAAGAACACCCAAAGTCTGCAACCAGGAAAAAGGAACAGTTTTCCATCATTGGAAATCACACACTTCATATCAACAGGAAAGAGGAGTCCTTCTGGTCTTAGTTTCACAAATCCGCTTCAATAGGATCATAGGTGTGCTTGTTCCCAGACTGTGATCTTACTCTTTTGTTTATGCCATCAACCCTGACATCTTCGCTTTCTAAATTAAATGCTCCCATTATTATTTTGGTTCCTTTGTAAACTTTACATATTTTCTCTCAATTGCATAACTCATTTTCTATTTTTGCATTAATAAACCATTTTACCCAACTAACCAACCAACCAAATCCCCAACTATATACAGATTACGGTTTGTTAGGAGCAATTCATACAAAATATTATTTTATGGATTTTCCCCCCATTACTGGGAGCCAGAATGAGCAGAACGGGACATAAGGAGAAAGGGACCTAGTCATAGCTGACTTCAAAGTGCGACGAACATTCTCCGTGCGTGTCTGATCAGGCTGATCGAGCCTCACATTTTTGTGCGTGCTCCTCAACGTGGTGCCACTGTTACTGACGTTCTAGGATAGCTGTTTAAAGGAAACGCTGCCTTAGTTTTTCTTTAATTGGTCGGTAGTAGTTTGGAGGCTGAACTGTAACTATTACAACTGATATCAGTTGTATGCAGAGGTCTGCAGGGCTGTACAGTTTCTGGAGGGGAAGGGAAGCTCTTTCTTGAAAAGCTCTGTGGCGACAGACACACCTGCCTTCTTTTTAGGCGTGTGTTATGCTTCCACGCTTGGCTTTTTATTATAAAAGTCTGTTTAAGAGATTAGTTATAGCGAGTGGATAATCATATTAACTAGATCATCCGTAGAGACGGTTTTTATTTGTAAACCACTAACTACGCCGGCCTGAAGCAGGGTGGGAGCATTTTAGAGTGCCAGGTGTCTGGGAAACTGCATTCTCCACAAGGGAAAAATGGCTTTTGTATATTTTCTCATTAATCTCAAATCAGTTAGGTATTATTGATAAAGAAGGTAGTGGCTAAACCCTAGGAAATCGATTGAGCAATTTCCTAACAATCAGCTGAAGGAAAAAAAACCCATGTAAACACAGAATCTTTTTGGTAAACAATAGTATGTTTTAGGAAATCCCAAGGAAAATAATTTTGACAATTAGGACTGCCAAGTGACCTCAAACCCAAGTCAAAACGGCCAGACTGGAGCAGCGCTTCAGAAAGGGGGTTCAGCTCGAGGAAAACGCTGACCTGGGCTGGGCTGCAATCACGGTGTTTATTGATTTTCGGGCTCGGCTGCACCCAGCCACGGAGCGTTCCCAGGGACAGCCGGCTGCCCCTCCCTCTCGCAGGGAAAGCGACCTAGTGACAGAAGGGCCACAGCCTGCCGAGCCATGTGTGCCTGCCTCAGAACCGGGAGGTGGCACGAGCAGGCGTCTGTCCCAGATCATGCAGAAGTGACACAGACCTGGCCGCGACCCTGGGGAACCCTGGGTGGGCAGGCCCCGAGGGGCGACCCGGCCCCGGGGCAAGGACGGCGGGATCTCAGCGGGGGCGCAGAACGGAAGGCGCGGAGACGCGCGCGGCTGACGCCGGCCTCAGACCATGAAGCGGTGCTCCTTCCCGTCGTGGGCCATCAGGATGACGTTGCGGTTGGACGTCCAGATGAGCCGCGCCAGTTTGAGGGCGTTGTGGGGGCCGGGGGAGGCCGGCTGCACAGGGGGCACCTGGTAGGTTTTGACGCAGCGCAGCTGAGGGGCCGAGTTCAGCATGCCGATGCTCCCCAGCAGAGAGGTGTTCATCTGGGGGGACACAGGGGCAGGAGAGCACGCGTGTCACACGGAGACTCGCTTCCCTTCCCCTACCGCACAGGGGCTCAGGGGCCACGCAGTTCTGGGCACGTTCCCCTCCCCCATGCTTGCTCACATTCACCTCAGACTTATTGTTACCCCGGAAGGGTCCTTTTTAAAACTGTTCTGATACTGGTATGGTAAAAACACAAATCCAGAGAAATTTTACTTGGTGGGCAGAGCTTCACAGCTGGGAACTCCAGTCTTTAAGAAGGAAGCTACCTTGTACGTGTTAATACAGCGGTTCAATCAGACGATATTTGTAGATTATGGGTATTTTCAACCGCAGATCTTTTTGTTTTTGTCTGTGCTGAAAGGACTGGTCCACAAAGCAAGCTTTGGGACTTATAATTAGTTCAAGGAGATGAAGCAAAGTTAAGCACTAGACAGAGTGAGGGGTTACTGGATCAAAACTCAAAATTTAACCCCATTCCCTATCTCCATCTACCAACACCTGCCCTCCTCACCTGCTTTTAAACAATTCAGTCTCTAGAAGGCTCTAGTTTATTTTAAAGGGAAAAACAAGAATCAACTACATCTCAACACTGTTTTGCTGCCGTGCTAAAGAGAGTATAAAAGGCCCAGCAGAAGAAACGCCTGCTTGAGTGTGGTTGGTAGGGTACGTGAATGTCTTGCACAAGACGGACAGCAATTTGAATATTTCACCTAAAATGTCACATGGTGTGCTTGGGTGTGATAGTGTTATGTTACAGAATTACATGCTTATGGCTTTGAAAGAAAAGATTTTGTAATAAAAAGGGGTGTTATTTGTGCTGCACCCTGTACCTCATGACCTACTGGCAATTTATTAATTGGTGTTTTCTGCTTTGTGGCAGCTTTTCCAGATTTGATGTGAACTTTAGGTTTTTTTATCCATTCACATAAGTGAGAAATAATGAGGAAATGATGGCTCCTGAACAAGTGTGCATTCAGGTCAGTTATCTCAATAAACTATTGTCTGAGCGACTGAGTCGGCTGAGTGCTTTAGATTCCAAATATTGCTGAACATTTTCCCAATATACATCTTTTGTGGTATTGCAGATCACGTGAAAACCTCACTGGAAATCAGGAACGAGGTGTCGGAAATGGTGGCACTAATTTTCATGTCCAATTCTTCTCTGCTCTAAGCCCTCGATCTAGACGAGTAAGAGTCTGGCGATTTGTGTGAAGCATGCAGATCATGACCCGATGCACACAAATGGCTGACACTTGAAACCTCGGCAAATCCGCGGACATTGCAGACGTGTTACTGCCGCTATCACGCTCTGCATCGGATCAGCGCGGAGTGGAAGCCATCCCTTTCCTGGCCTTTCTCGGCGGCGGGACAGTGTCAGGGCACGTAAATCACAGCGTCTCCAGCAGGATGCGTGCAGGCTCCACTGACATTTTCACAATTTAAATCATCTTGAGTAATAACCCTTTTAAGATGACTAATGCTACTGATTTTACTGCATTAATAATAGTGCCGAACACAACACAGAGGTGAAAAAAAAAAATCACTGGTGTACGAGGTCACATTTTAAAACCAAATGTATGGTCATCGTTAACTCTTTCTGCTGAAGTTCAGCTCTCACTGAGAGCTGGGCAGCACCTTCCTGTCTCCCTCCAAAGCCTCTTCCCTTGCTCGCCTCCTTCCTTTCCACCCCAAACTCCATAAAAGGGGAAATTAATGCCTTACTGGTTTCGGGAGGTTCCCGAAGAGTTTCAATATAAATAATGACAATGAGCTTGATTTTATAGTTCTCACTTGTACAAAAAGTAACACTACACAATAATTTAGCCCTCTTACAGAACATATCCAAATGATCCAGAAAATTGCTGGTTTAAAATTAACTGGCATCAACAGCCATACTGTGCTTTTTAAAAATCCAATTTCTCAGTTGATAAATAACCACAAAGTATTTTTCATTCTTTATGGATTTTCTATGAAAATATGTATGAAGCTTGATTTCTTCTGGTGGCTTCAAATGCTCAGGGTATTCAATATGCTCAAGATACTTCCTTATTTTTAATTCTTCTCTTCAAATTTAGGCATGTACAAGAAATGGGTTGAGGGCTAAATGGGGGTAGGGAGAGAATATCTTACTGGAATTTGAGGATGGAAAGATTTTTTAAAAGTCCACTATTATATTTGAGTTCCCCTTGCGAGCTGAGCCATTGCTCAAATGATTGATAAATCAATTGATAAATGCCTTTGGTAGGGCCAAGCAGCCTTCTGTCCCTGAACAGGAAGGACTAGGCCCAATTCTATAAGGTCTATAACCAATGAAGGCTGCATGCAGTTGGAATGATGATGACTCTCCTGTAAACCATAATTTCTTGTTTTCAGACCATCCTTTCCCTATGACCTCTTCAAATTACATATGAACCGGAAGTACTAAGGGTGAGTATTTTTCCAACAAACTTGGTCAAAGAATTCTCACCAAAACAATTCACCATTTTGTTACTCAGTATTAATACTTTTTTTTACCCAGTGACTGGCTATAAACTATGTTAAAGTCAGGGGAATTTGAGCTTTCAGTGGATGAAAACTACCTGGAGTTGTCATATTTGGTAATATTAATGTTTTTCTTGATTACAAAGATAAATACTCACTGTGGGAAATTCAAATAACAAAGATAAGTATAAACATAAAAGCAAAACTCTCCTCAAGTCTTACTTCTCAGAGATAATCACTAATGATTTGGTAAACATCTTCTAGACCTTACCTACACCCAAGGAGGGCTAGTTCAAACAATTTCACATGAACAGGCTCATATGAAAAGGGGCTTTAACAATCTGCTTTTTTATTTCAACAAATTGTTGAGGGTGATCTTTTCATGTTAATGACTACAGATTTACATCATCTACTTAAAATGGCTGAATAGTATTCTATTGTATGATGGACTAAGTAAAAATAAATGAAACTATGAAACTAATATCCACCTAATTTATTATTAGCATTTATGAAAGACGATACTTATTTCTTAGAGAGTAGTGGTAAAATTTAGGTGAGAGAATCACGGTTCTATTCCATTACTAAACTCCCCTTCATCAAATGTCAATGGATACATTGAAGCGAAATATTCGAATTCTAGAAACATGTTCGGAGACTCAAAGGAACTGAAAGATGAACTGAAATTACATCATTCAATAGGTGGGTATGTCAACTAACTAAAATGTAACTCGGGCTTTTCCTGGCCTGTAGAAGGGGAGGGGCACTGGCTGAAGGCAGGGGAAGAGGCCAGTTCGAGAGCACACAGGCATCGTCCATGGACGGGGACAACGGTGTGCGGGCGACTGTGGGGACCAGCGCGCCAACTGGAGGGGAGGGGAGGGGAGCAAAGGAGGGGGATTGGGACAACGGGAATAGCAGAAACAGTAAGAAAGGTGTTTAACTTTCAAAAAAAAAAATAATGCTTCACGAAACCAGTTCTGTGAAGCTTATTTTCTGAACACATACAAACACATACAGATGTAATTTATCAAAACAGGGCATGTTTAATGCTCTTCTCAGTGTAAGGAATGCTGCACACAAACCTTTCACTAAGTCTCACTTGAGTAATTATCCAACCAATATTTCTCATTAACACTCATTTCTCAGCAAAGATTTTAATAGTTGATGGCTTTTGTAAGGTTCTATATTAATAAGACTTCGTCAAGTTTTCAAAATATATTACAGTGCATTTCCTGGAATACTATAGAAGTGTTATCATACATCATTAGAACTAAACAATATGTATCTACATAAATCAGCAAGTCCATTTGGGGAGAGCAGTGGTAAATCCAACACTGCTTTCTGGCCTCTCTTTCATTTAAATAAAAACTCACTATGCTTCTGGAAGAGATTTTATTGTATTTTCAGGATAAGTCTGAAATAATGTTTCTGTGCCTTTCACTTAAATTTCAAGACCAATCTGGGTATAATGTAAGCATTGGGGAAAAGGAGTGCATTTTTCAATTCTAACACTGGGTTTGAGGCAACAAAGAGTTGGGGGTTGCCCGAGTTGCTTTGGTGCTGCGTCCACGGGACACCCACAGGTGCAGATAACACCAGGCCGCCTCCGCAGTAGATGAGCATGTGGACGAAGAGAACTGTAAAGCCACATGCACTAGCAGGCAGGTTTCAGTGCATGTAGCAAAGCCTAGAAGACAGCAGCCGGAGCCTGGGAGAACTGGAAGCGGAAAGGTATCTCAAAGAGATGCCATTTAATGGATGGTCTTGATCTGTAGAGTAAGAAAGGATGCTAACCATAACTCCATCAATGAGCAGGGCAGAAGCTCTGATAAAAATAGAGGAATATCCATGGAAGGGATGAACGTATCCAGATAAGGGGGGAAAGTTTTACCACACAGAAATTCAGGAAAATCCTGGAGAAAGTTTCAAATTCTTCTCTGTTAGGAATTCTATTTTGGGGGGAAGTAGAGTTGGACGAAACAGAGATTTGGTTTGTATTTTTCCAAAGAAAAATGCATGGTCAGCACACAAGCTCCCCGAAGGCAGGGACTGGTGGCTCGCTGACTTGGTGTCCCTAAAATACCAGCCGATCAACACTGAGCAGATGGAGCTTTCTACAGGCACTTCTCCTGGATTACAAGGGAGCAGGCAGGACATGGGAAAAACTTGTGTCTAAGTACAGCTGGTACAAAAGAGACCACCCACTGTGCTGGGCAGGGGTAGAGAAGACAGCCGGTAGATAAAGAACCAGTGTTGCAAGAGCCCAGTTTATGGACGTGGAAGGGACTTGGGGTGTGGGATTTCAACAACGTGAAGGACGAGTCCTGTGGTCACCCACCAGGACACGGGACGGGTGGGTCAGAGCTCTGAGGAAAAGGGGAATACGTGAGCCGATTAAGGTGCTGGAGTTACTGTATTCTGGGAGAAAGGACAGAGAGCTAATACACTGGAAAACTAAACTAGATGAAGAGTTAGAAAAACTCTGTGGCAGATTTGGAGGCTGTCATGCTTTAATATGATGTTAATTAAGCGATTCATTGTATCTGTTTTACATTTTTATTAGCTACTTATTTTTAAAAAACCATTATCAAGCTGTGCTGAAGTCTTTTTTAACTTTTTTTATAGCCTTCAAAGTATTTGACTGAATCTCGTAAAACATACTTGTATCCTAGGAAAGTAAAGGTAACACAATTTTAAATGAACTTCTTTTGCAGGGAGCTGGCCATGTTTAATTTCTTGGTAATTATCAGCAGTGACATCATTAAAAAGAAGACCGGACAGAGACTAACCACAGTGGTGAAACAAGTCCTACTGTAAAAACTGGTTGTTCAAAGTTGAGATTCATTTTAATCAGAATCTAACACAGGCATTCTCAAGCCAGTCAGTGACACTCGCGTTTTTTAAAATGTTTGGATCGTTTGGGAATGAAGAGCACAATGTGGACAAATTGGGATGCACACAAAAGTGAGGTTTGATACAGGGGACGTGAAGGTAAAGCTAAAGCAGGCGGCCTTTTCCCCTCGGTCCGGCCCGTTAGAGCCGCCTCAGTGCCTCGTGTTAGTGAGCAGCTGCGCGGTCCGCGCCCACCCTGCGCCCCCGCCCCCCGCCCCCCGTGCCCTGCCCTCCCCACTCTGACTGCGGCTCCCTCTCCCTCAACTCCCGCTCTCCCTGCCCTCTCCTCCGCGTCAGCGCAGCTCAGCTCCGGCATGGGCATCGCTTCCCCCGCCAGGCCACCCACTGCTGCGCTCAGGCTCCCCAGGAGCTATAGCTCCTAGCTCGGTTACCTGTGCGCCCGAGACTGGAAGCTCCGTGAGAGCAGACTCCCTCTTTCCAGGTTGCTAAACGAACCCTCAGTGCTGTTAGCAGCCTGCACACTATCGGCGAGCAAGAAATACTTGATGTTTGCTGGGAGAAGGGAGAGGGGGCCGGCAGGGGCGACAGCAAGCCTGTCCCAGATCACGCCCTGTGTGCCAGGACCCTGTCCCGTCTACGCTTACCTGCCAGAAGGAAATGTGGCTGTCAGTGTTTGAGTAGGTGGCGAGATAGCGCCCGTCAGGAGCAAAGCCCACCGCGGTGATGGGTCCCTTGTGTCCGTGGATCGTCTAAAATAAAATCCAGAGCCATTAGCTGCGTGAACCCCCAGACCTATGACATCTAGCATGCAAATGCATTCCGTTTTGAAAAAAATTATGTCATGGATATTAAATGCTGTTATAGTCATTATTTTATTTATAAAATCAGATTAGAGAAACCAGAAAAGCAACTAAAGTTCTCTCCCTGGTCTATCTCAGGGTGTCAGTCTTGTTCTCAGAAGCCCACCTGTCTCCAAGCTGGGAGGACAGTGTGAGTCCAAAGAAAAGCATGTATTGATGGGAAAACCAACATGTTAATTCATTCCTGTCCATTAGAGGAAAGAATTTTACAATTAATTAGGAAGGTAAGAAACCCATCACCAAATCTATCCAGGAGCCTCACTCATCTGTAGTGAAAAATACTTAAAGCTGGAGCATAACATCCCCGTTCTGGAGGGAGTTAAAAGCTATCATTTCAATCCCTTAATAATTACACATTTTTCATGTTTTATGCTTCATTTCCCACCAATAACACTGTGTTCAAATGCATATGGCCTCAATTAGCAAACACACATATATGCATGTGTTGTAGTTTTGACCACACATATAAATCAAATGCTATTAAAAACAAGTTAACAGGGATAATTTTAAGCCTTTGCCAAATAGCTCTTATTGATTTAACCATGAATAAAAAAAGGAAGTTGTATTTTAGACTAGATCGTTGATAAAAGGACTTTACTAATAAAAAAGTTACACTAAAATTTAATACTATTAATAGTTGCTGAAAACACTGGGATACTGGACAAATTAGTATATTGTATTAATATTATATTAATGTCCCTACACTTAACTATTAGAGACCTCTACTAAGGTAACCAATATTTACTCTGCTCTCAGACTCAAGGCTGATCTCCCCTTTGTCCAGAAAGGAACGGAAAAATGTGTTCCCTTAAACCAAGACAATACCAGGAAGGTTTGTTTCCACTGGCTTCTTGCTGAGGAATTGTGAACCTTGAATCTCAGTGAGAGCATCAGGCTCACCATGTGATTCAGCCCCACACCTACTGTAAACTTCCATACGACTCGTCTTATAATTTGTTTCTGAGTGATTACAAGGAGGAAGGGAGGGGGCGGGGTGATACTCTTTGCTCTTTGGATTATCGTTTACTCTCAGTAGGCGTTCAAGGCCCTGCGGGACCCAAAATAATGCTTGCTTTCCGGGAGAGCCGAAACACTCCCCTGGTCCATACTGCACTGGGCTTTGGGGCAGGTGAGAACTCTGCTTGGAGTCAGACTGCCCGGCTGCCTGGGCCCACACCTGACTGACCGTGGGACCTCGGGCAAGGTATGTAAGTTACTTAACCTCGTTGTACCCATGTCTCTAAAGGAGGAATGACGATGATAACGATAGTGATAATACCTGCTTCAAAGGGCACTGGGACAATTACACAAGATACTATATCTACAGCTCTCTGCCCAATGCATGGCCCAGAATAAGGCTTCAACAAACACGATTAATATTTGTTGCCTTCTCCTTACTCAAAGATGACCAGACGTAGATACTTGAAAGTTGCTAAGAAAGTAGATCTTAAATGTCCTCACCACAAAAAAGAAATGGTCATTATGTGAGCGGATGGAGGTGGGACCTAAATGACAAGCTGGTCATCATTTTGCAACATGTAAGTGTATCAAAGCATCACCTTAAAACTATACAATGTTATATGTCAATTATATCTCAACAAAACTAAAAAAAAAAAAAAAAACAGACAGTGTAAACAATCATATAACTCAATTACTTGAGTACATCATTTAATAAAAAACACCCACCAAAATAATCCCTAATCCTATACCCCAGAATCAGCATCCACTAAAATACTCAGTGGTCTAGAAACAGGTCTCAGACTGCGGAATTTCATTAGAGATGTGGTAACTGTCCATGGTAACTGTCCATGGTACTACCCAACACATGTGGTGCTAAATTAAGCAACAGGGTGAGCATGCAGAATAATTATTGCAAGAACCCAGCTCAACACATTCTACATTAGAATGAAAATTATTGTAGGCGTGGGGACAAAATGCAACCAATTAAAAGAGGAAAAATATGACCATTCCCACTTACTAGGTCAGTTTAATGAGCTCACTGGGAAAACAGCTTTATTTGTTTTTTAAAATCAAGATTCAGTTATGCTACAAATCTGAAATTCTAGTGGGCCAATCTGAGGCTATTTTATGGTTAAGACAGTTGATTAGTAAGGCCTTGCTTTATAATGGAGGTTGCTAAGTGAAGACTTATAAGCTGAAATGGATTACAGACATATTTGGTTTGGCCTGTAAAATGTTTTTTAAAAATGTGCTCTGAGCCTGTATTCTAATTAATCGGATATCATGTAAAATCAAGATTTCTAACCTCTCCTGAAACTGGAAGCTCCAGCAACCCTGGGCCATACTCCATGGGTGGTGATACTAGTCAGAGCTGAATGAAGGTGGCCCCTTCAGCCATTTCACCGGTCCCAGCCCTGACACAAGAGGGGGCCTGTGTACCTAACACTGGCTGCCTGGTTCCCCGTGGCATTTAATGCAACCCTGACATTAAAAATACTCAATTCCAATAGTTTCTTCCATGCTCTGGGGTCCCAGCATGCATCTAAAAGTATGAGCAGATTGAAACCTCCTCTAAAAAAAACTTGGCCCTTCTTGCAAGTCCCCCCAAAGCTCAACACTGTGTAGAGGTGGACTGATCCTCCTTTTGGAGTTTGGGACCCAAAATCTCAAAACAGAATGCTAAGCCTGTCTCCTTCAGATGAGCATCCCTCCATGTTCAGCAACCAGAATGTACTTCAGACAGTAAGAAAACGCAACAGGGAGTGGGCTAGAAACCAGCAGGCCCAGAAGGTGTACCAATCCAAGGTCACATTGAGGCATCGCTCTGTGACCCTAGCTATGTTAGCCCTGTCATAAAGATGGAAACCAGACACACAGGCTCCTTCGGCAAAGTCTTCATGAAATACTTCATATTATATCTTTCTCTCCTATAGAGAGCTGGCATTTAAAACAACCATGTGAATACTTCTGTCTCATTTGAAGGCACTCTTCATTAACTGTCTAGTAGAAGATCCTGTGAATTAAGTTCATCTTGGAATTTTCTGCCACAAAAATGTTTCTTTCCAGATCAATGTTGTTGCCTTCTTTTATCATGTGACAATAATGATATAATTTACCACAGACTCGCTTGACTGCCAGGAAACTCAGAACTAAATTTATGCTCATTCTACATGTCTACTGATAAACACTTCCTACTCATTCCACTACTCATTGGCCTGTTTTCCATTGTTGTGGTTGAGGTCCTGTCACTTACTGAGCTTACTATGTTAGTTCCTTGAAAGTCCATTTTAGACAAAGAGGGACTACACTTTAGATCAGAGCCCACTAACACACGCATGCACGCATGTGCCATATTGCACTGCTAGGTACCCCACTGGGCCCTTTTGAAGCAACACAGAGAAACACTGCTCAGCACTGACCGCAGCGCCGGCTGAGAGACAGACCTGTTGTCTTACAAGAAAGCAGAGTACCACTCAGGGAAGCTCAGAGAAGTGTGCTGTTTTAAATGATTTGGTGCATCTGGTGAGTTCATTACCATCTCTACCTAAGAGGTGCTTCAGCCCTCAGTGTAATGGAAATGTTGCCTTTGGCTTTTGTTCAGAATCTCTGAACTTCTAAGATCTATGCAGGCACTGCCTGAACTGACTTGAGCCTCTACTCTGGCATTAGACACGCAGCTGCCCCGGGGGTCACAGCGGACTTGTAAACGCTTTGTGATGGGCCGCACCCAGTGGTGGGGATCTTAATGTTATGCTGGAAAGAACATTTTCCAAAATAACAGGTTTCGAAACAAAGGGAGGTTTGGTCTGCTTTTTATATGTGAATGAGTATTATGTTTTGTTATATTTTCAGTCAAAGAAATTGCTGTCTTGAATAGACAGAGATGGAATATAAAGAAATTAATCTAATTCAAGAAGTGCCATGAACAGTAAAAGAAAACCAAGCAATTATCCCTGGCAGGAGACAGAGTGTTGAATTGTTAAACACCCACTTCCCCCTTTTTCCTATGAAAGAAAAGGAGCCGAGAGGCAGGCGTGACAATGAGCAATACTTGCACTTGTCCAACAGTGTTTCACTGGCACTTTCAATGTGCTCTGCAAATATAATGCCTCGTGTTGTACAGAGGAGGAGAGAACACGACTTTCTGAAATGATTTGGTCAGTGTCAATAGAAGCTCTTAACTGTCTAGAATATTCTCTTTAAAATTGCTCTTTACATGGTCTGTCTTACTGGAGTTCTTGTTACTGTTTCCAAATGACAAATGTGAGAATTAGACCCCAAACGTATGGCTCTATTATACCCACTTTAAGAACCGAACAAGAATAAAGAGAAAAGTTTGCATTTAGTTGTAGGTCTTATCACTTTTGTAAAAGGGAGGGGAAAAACCCAACCAAACAAAACATTTTCCTACTTTTTTAAATAAAGATTTTATTTATTTATTTTTAGAGGGGAAATGAGGGAGAAAAAGAGGGAGAGAAACATTGATGTGAGAGAGAAATATTGGTTGGTTGCCTCTCGGACACCCCACACCGGGGACCTGGCCTGCAACTCAGGCCTGTGACCCAACTGGGAATCGAACCAGCAGCCTATCAGTCTGCAGGATGATGCCCAACCCACAGAGCCACACCAATGAGGGCCATTTTCCTACTTCTAACATAAATTGTGAAAACTTCCAAAAGTAGGTAAAATCTTGTTATCATAAATACGGCCTCCCAGGGAAAGACCTGTGTGTTTTGTATAACACTTGCTAAAACAAAGTGAAATATAAAAGTAGAAGGTCTGCAGGGCCTGAGAAGGAAGAAGGCTGCCTTGGTGGTGGGCCTTTCCAGGAGCAGCGGGGCTGCCCTGGGATTAAGACAGGCAGTTGCCGTTCGGAGGGGAAGCGGGGTTTGAAATGTCTGCTGAGCTGCAAATCTGTCCTAGTTGGC